AAGGCAAGCATCCCAACGCTTCCCAGAACCATAGCAGATGGAGCTGCGCCTGGACCAAAGAAAACCCCCCGTAGGTTTTCTCAAACTCTAACCATTCTTGCCATGCCTTACCATACCGAACCCACTTGGCCTCCGACTCTGACCCGCGGATCCACTCCATCACTCTGTCAGCCCAAGAGACCATAGCTCCACCGGGCACGGGAAAACTTCTGTGTCTGGCCCAGGAGTGGTCGCTTGAAATTCCTGCCACTGTAAGCGAGAAAGGCATCCGCTGTTACATTGACCACCCCCGGGAGATGCACCGCCATACATATAATATTCTGTGTCAGGCAGCACAGCACCAACCATCGCAGCAGCCGAACCACCGGGAGAGAGGAAGCCGACAGATTGCTGTTGGCTAACACAACCTCCAAATTGTCACAGTGAAATGGGACCCACCGATCCCAAAGCAGATAGCCCTCTATAACTCCACTGCTACCACAATCGGTAGCAGCTCCAAGAATGTCAAGTTCCTTGTCAGCTCCGCTGCTTGTCATGATGCCGGCCATCTGTCAGTGCACCAGGGGTCCCCCAGGATGGCTCCAAAGCCTACCGATCTCGCCGCATCAGTAAACAAGTCAAGCTCCGAATTGGACACTTCCGGGGCCTGTCAGTAGGCCCTCCCGCTGAAACCCTCCAGAAATACATCCCACACTGCTAGGTCCTCCTGCAGTGGACACACTGGGACACTGACTCCAGGGATCTCAGCAGCCACGAGCATACAGGCGAGCCTACACACCATTGATCACTCCATAGGGTGGCACAAGTTCACATAATACTGTTCTTCGAAAACTCACCCCAGGAGGTGATGATACTCCAGATGCACCAGGAGCAAACGGAACACCAACTCCATGTCGGCCTTGGCCATAAGGGCACCTGGCCCCGCCACACGAACCCTATGCAATGTAGTGTCAAATGAGGCATAAGAGACCCTGCAAAGTTTCTTATCTTTATCCCCATTTACAGACCCCCACGGAGGGTGTGACAAATGGTGAATGAGCAGGAACTTACCCGGCTCCTTCTTGGGCAACACACCCAGGGGCGGGAACGGCCAACTTGTCCCACACTCTCTCCAGGTGCTCCCGTATGGAACGCAAATTTTGGCACACCCCTGTCGCTCCCCGCTCCCGATGAGGGATCCAAAACTCATCCCGAAAACACCCGAGGAGCACCTCCACTGTGTTCCGGTTCTTATAGCGGTTTAGCCAAGTTGCCATCGCAGCGACATCCACCGGCATCTTGCCCTTAGACCCCACGGTGTCACCCTTGTCTTTATTGAAGCACCTGGCCATGGAGTATTTGCCTCCACACACCGAGCACTCGTGCTTGAATTTACAGCTCGCCCCCCATTTGCACTGGCTGTCATTATATAGCCAACAGCATCCGAGGTGGCAAGGAGCGAACGCCGTAGGAGAGGATCACCCTCCCATGCCGTCCTTCGCCCCCAAGAAAGGATGATGGTCCGCTCTGATGAGAAGCCGGCTGGGTCATGATAGTCAACCAGAATTCAATGTCCATTTGGTCCCAGCCCATCGCCGGGCAGACTGCCAGGCGCTGACGGAATTGCTTGTCATAGCATCACCAACTAAGGCCCCCATACACGCGGCAAGCATTCCACACTAAGTCCTGGTAACAGAAAAGGCCAGAACATTTTTCCGGTACCTTTTCCCCGATCACGCTAGCCAAGATCGAGAAAGCTTGGCTCCAATTCCCAAATGTTTCCAGGATCTTCTGGAACTGGAACTTCTCCCAGTCCTTGTCCGAGTCCTTAGACTCTTTTTCAGGAGGGGGCAGATCTTCCAGCAAGAGCAGAGAGAAAATCTCCATAAACTCCACTTTCTAGATTTTCTCCTTAACTTCTTGCTTCAAATGAAGACCTAACAGACCGGACCAGCACATAGAGGCTGCCCCATGGGCCGTCAGCGTAACCTCCAGGCCTTTTGCAGTGACTGCTGCAATCGCCATCCCCACTGTACCCGGTACCAGGGCGACCACCTCTGGGGGCCAACTGAACCGTGGCCCCCCAACCTTTCATTGAACAGAACTCCCTATAGGGGAAGGGTCCCAACCGGCCCGCAACTGTGCATTAATGGACGTGGATTGCGCCAATGCCACCCCCACGCTGCACTCCACTGCGACAAAACTTGCGCATACTACTAACTAAACTATACCAATCTCGCTGCCCAACTTTACTAGTGCCCCCCAACCCAGAAGAGTTGAAGCACTCACCAGACGGCGCCTGCGCAGACTGGAGCAGCGGAATCGGACCAAGAGGAGGGTTGTAGAAATTTTAGGCATGTATACTGTACGTACAACGTAATTATTATGTATCGCTTCACTAAAGTATATTTTATGTAATCCATATGTATAACAAATCTTGACAAACCTTAAGTTTTTTAGACCCAAATTAATCATTCTAATTTATTTTACAGTCTAACTGCATCTTCATTCATTTTCCTGTTTCTTTAAAAGAAGCGTATCATAATTCTAATTTAGTAGAAAACCACCTTATTACAAAGTGGCTTATTCAAAATAAATAAGGATTATGAAAACCTACATTTAGTTTGAATAAAGGTGTTAATTTGTAGTTTATGTATTTGCAGACTGAGCTTGTTTTCATTTTAATCTCTTAAGCGCAGGAGTTGGAACCTTCAGTATATGTTATGGTTGGAATGTTTCCCAATGATGTCATTTGCAGGTATCCTCACATCTATTCCCTACGCTGCAATGAGGTCACCTGGAAAAGCTCCAGCTACTGGAGTTCTCTGGTACCATCTGCTGTGACAATGTATATAAATAGGAGCTTGAATTTAAAATGTTCATTGAAGCCCTATGTAGATTTGAGCTATAAAGATTGTTACATAAAACAGCATGGTTCTGGGCAGAGATCTACATGAACAAATTATAGCTCGAAATTGTTTATTGTCCCAATATATTTTATGATCATGACAAGGTTTTTAATGATGAACAGGGGAATAATATGTAGAGAGTTATGTCTCAAGAAGTTGTTTCAGGACAGTTAGGACCATTAATAGCGGACTGTAAATTAAAAAATATATATATCTCTTTTAAAGGGAAAGTATGGGGTAAAATCGACCCCTATTTTTGTAGCTGATCTTTTTGTAGCTGATAAAAAATCCTTCCTTATGTGTATCAAATAGTTGGGCTTTCATGAGGGGCAGGGGGACTAGGAACATAGGCCAAGGCTATACCAGCCTCATTACATCTCCAGGCCCCTGATTCCCAAAATGTGCTATTCTGTTCCTTACTTTGGCTGTAACGCCGGTCCAGTCTTTTGACCACCCAGGTTTAGCAACTCGTTAGTAAGGTCGTTATTGCCTTTTGCATCAGATCAGGTTCTACATTACAACATTGCATCTTCCATTTCTTGATGTGATGTATAGTAACTATGGGTCACACTGCGTGTACTTATTGCAATGTACCTTTAATGAAAAATAAAGATTGGCAAAAAATATTACATAAAAATACTAACATTGTATCTGCAAATATTGTGTATTAAGTTTGGCTCCACGACATGTCTATCTACCTTCAGGTCATCGTTATTATGCCATTGTGTTTTTAAAAAGTTGTCTCTAAGTGATGAAAATATTTGTAAACCTTGGTTCTGCCTCAAATCCTGAACATGTTTCAGTTCAGCTTTCTTTGACTGTGGATTTCATGACATAGTTATGTTTCTACATGTTCTGTCTCTTGTTAATAACTATCATTAGCCACCATTAGTTCAAGGGCTCAGTCTGCTGATAACGGTGGTTCTTAAGATGTATCAGTAACAGATAAATCTAAAACGTAAAGAGTTACTATTAAGTGGTTATGATGTTAGTAATACACTGTTGCCATTTCCCAGGATTTGCACAAACCATTTTGCAAAGTTTTGCACTCTTACATAGTTCATGCCCGGCGCCGAGCCTCCTGTCCTGCTGAGTGACGTGCATCAGACTTTGAAGTGAAATATATAATACATATAACCAGAATGCTAAAGATCTCTCCCATCCTACAGTTCATTAATTCCTTTAAATATGTCTTCCGCATTACAGAGACCCACTAAGTACCATAATCACTATAATACATTTATAGGACTGATTTCAAAAACACTGTCATACCATAACCATCAGCAAAGCATCACCAATATGCTTTCAGTCAATCATAGAACAGTCATCTATACTTATACATCACGCATCAAGAACAACGCATTTAGATTTAATATCGTGAAAACGTATATGAACTACACATAACCTATTTATACACAACATTCACATGTGATATCTAATCATACTTGCCTCAGTCAAACTATTCATAGAATCGATTTTCCCAATAGGAAAAAAATTGTCCATAACACTGACAAAAGAATTACATTTTTTGCAATAAAACTGGTGAAGTGGAATTCGGCTTAATTTTACAAGTTCAAATGTAAAAAAGGGCCAATTTGGTGATTGATATATCTCTACCATATCAGAAATGCCGGATTTCTTTTTACAAGTGAATAGAAATTATTTACAATAATTAAACCAGAAACTGAAAATTATGTTATTTAGTCCTGTTTATCAATCATTTTACTTGTATTATTATTTTATTTTATTACTGCCTTCCCTTGGCTCCAATGTCAGCTAATTCTATTTGCTTGGGTTATTTTTTTTTTGTTTGGTTTAATTATAGTTAATACCAGGGTCATCCCCTATTTTAAGTGTTGGTCCTTTTCGGCCTACATTCCTATTGACATTTACTTTCTAATCTAAACTGTTTATTTTGCATATTCTCTCCTTGACAGGAGGTTATTTTAAAATTAAAAAATTAAAACTATCTTACTCTCAAAAAATAGGAGGGGTGATGCTAACTGGCGAGCATGGTGCCCGAGCTCTACAAAAGCTACTCAAAATACCCTCACGATCTGATCAATTTGCCTGCTCCAGGGTACATGTGGCTGCCAAGAGATAAGGTACACCATGGGAAAGCACTCGAAGAAACCCAGAGGACCAAGCACGGGATATACCCGCGACATTGGCCAATTGCTGTCCCACGGCTGTAGGCCCAAGATGGCGGATGTCCTTCCGGAACTGGGGCTAGACTCACACTCTGCCTTAGAAGACAACTACCTGAGCAATGTGCCAACCCCAACGCCCCAGTGGAAAAGCCAAGCCTTACCTCCTCGGCAAAGGGAACACCCACTGGCTACCAAGGTAGATCTCTCCGCCATGGTGAATGACCTTAAGGCCTTCTTAACGGCGGAACTATAAGGGCTGAAGGGTAAACTGGGCACACTGACAAACCGGATATGGGCCACGGAAGATGAGGTCCAGGAACTGAGGGCCCTATAAAACACCACAGCTAAGCAGATGCAAGAGCTCACCAACATGTGCACACAGTTGAATGCAAGATTTGGACAATTAGAAAATATAGCACGCCAATGGAACCTAAAGGTGAGGGGGATCCCTGACACCATGGCTGCTGAAGAGCTACCGCAATTCTTAAGGAGACTGTTCTCTTGACTGTTCTTAAGGGCCTGACTCTTGATAGACTATTCCGAATACCTTGGTGGCCAAGCAATAAACAGGACACCACTAGGGATGTTATAATATGTTTTAGATCCTGCTCTGACAATCAGGGTTCCTCCGTGTGATTAGGGGACAAACCCGTACAACTTTGAAGACCATTCCTTAAACTTCTACCAAGATCTGAGTCATCAGACACTGCAGTGGCGCGCCTCTCTGAAAGAAGTAACAACATTGCTGAGAGCAGCCGATATCCCATATAAATGGGGATACCCAAGAGCGCTCACCGCTGAAAGGGACCGGCTGCACTCCCTGGGCATACAACCAGCTCCAGGAACCAAGACGAGACCTATGCATCAATGTTGCCAACATTGCATCCTTTACTCCACAGGTCAAGAATGACAAGGCATAGCAGTTCCTCCCAGCACCAACTGCGTGTGCGAAGATGCCAGACACCAAGAACTTCATGCTCTGTCAGAAACTATAATTCTGTTTGCGTTTCACTTTTACATTTTTTATTTACCGTATATACTCGAGTATAAGTCGTCCCGAATATAAGTCGAGACTCCTAATTTTACCCCCAAAAACTGGGAAAACTTATTGACTCTAGTATAAGACTAGGGTGGGAAATGCAGCAGCTACTGGTAAATTTCTAAATAAAATTATATCGCCAAAAAATTATATTCATTGAATATTTATTTACAGTGTGTGTATATCATGAATGCAGTGTGTGTGTGTGTGTGTGTATAATGCAGTGTGTTTGTATGAATGCGGTGTGTGTGTGTGTATGAGTGCAGTGTGTGTGTGTATGAATGCAGTGTATGTGTATGAGTGCAGTATATGTGTGTGTATGAATGCAGTATGTGTGTATGAATGCAGTGTGTGTATGAATGCATTGTGTGTGTATATAATTCAGTGTGTTTGTATGAATGCGGTGTGTGTGTGTGTGTGTGTGTGTGTATGAGTGCAGTGTGTGTGTGTATGAATGCAGTGTATGTGTGTATGAGTGCAGTGTGTGTGTATGAATGCAGTGTGTGTGTGTATGAGTGCAGTGTATGTGTATGAATGCAGTGTGCGTGTGTATGAATGCAGTGTGTGTGTGTATGAATGCAGTGTGTGTGTGTGATGCAGAGTGTGTTTGTGTGTGTGATGCAGAGCCTTGGTGGGGGGGTGGGCATTTTTATAAAAAAAAAAAAATATTATTATTATTATTTTCATATTATTTTTTTATATATATATATATATATATATATTATGAATATTTTATTTTTATTTTATTATTATTAAAATTTTTATTTATTTATATTTTTTACATCCCCCCCCGCTTGTTAGCTGGCCGGGGAGGGGGGCTCTCATTCCCTGGTGGTCCAGTGGATGGGCTGTGTAGGAAGGGGGCTGGCAGAGAGCTGTAACTTACCTTTCCTGCAGCTCCTGTCAGCTCCCTTCTCTCTCCTCCGGTCCGGTCAGCTCCCCTGTCATCTCCACTGTATGTCTCGCGGTCTGAGTGCCGTGCAGAGCGTTGCCATGGTAACCAGTGGCAACACTCTGACCCCACGGCTCTCGCGAGACTTGCAGTGGGAGCTGACAGGGGAGCTGACCGGACCGGAGGAGAGAGAAGGGAGGTGACAGGAGCTGCAGGAAAGGTAAGTTACAGCTCTCTGCCAGCCCCCAACAGGACTGCCGGGCTTGTAATGAGCACGGCGGTCCTGGTCTGTATTATGTCAATATAAGTTGCCATAATACAGACAGTGACTCGAGTATAAGACCAAGTGGCTACTAAAAAAGACTGGATATACTCCATTTGCAATACCTTGTGTTGTTTTCTTTTGCAAATGGTATGCCATCATGGGGGTAATTCTTATTCCTGGGCTACCATATGGTCTCAAAGGCAACGTAACCAATCTGGCGAATTTCAGTGTGAAAAAAATGAAAAATGTAACGTGCTATATTTGACCCTGTAACTTCCCAAAACACCATAAAACCTGTATATAGGGGGTACTGTTTTACACGTGAGATATCACTGAATACAAATATGTGTATTTTATTGCAGTAAAAGCAAACAGTATTTTGACATTCACAGTTAACCCCTTAAGGACTAAACTTCTGCAATAAAAGGGAATCATTACATGTCACACATGTCATGTTTCCTTAAGGGGTTAAAATGTCACTTAGAACTAAGAAAATTTTTTAAAAATCTTATTTTCTATCATTTTTTATATTTTATTCATATTAAATTACATTCCATACCTAAATATTTGATGTTAAATGAAAGCCCTGTTTCCCCTGAATAAAATGATATATAATAAGTGTGGGTGCATTTAATATGAAAGAGGTGAATTACGGTTGGACAGACATATAGTGCAAATGCCAGGTTTTGTTTACATTTTGTTTTGATCACAACTTGTACATTTGGCTGCGGTCTTAAGGGGTTAACAAATGACTCTTTCAGTAACCCTGAGAGTTTTTGAAATCTCCAATAGTCCTGAAAATGAATAAGATATGTTGTATAAAAAATTAGGAAAGAGTCAAAAAACAAAATATATACACATCTATACAGTACATATAAAACCAATTATATATAGCACATAAACACCATAATGCAACAATATAAGAATTATAACTTTGTTTAACATTGGTCTATCCTAAAACATTAGGTTAATGATTATACGAAACAATAACACTCATATATTTATTTATTTATTTTTTATTACCTCGAGGTTTTTTTTTGATCCCTTTAGTGGATGAACTAAAGAAACGTATAATTGTCTCGTATTTCTATAATAGGGATAGGATCACACAAGTCAATCTTCATTTTTCACAAATTCGTCAGCTCTACATACTATATTACAAATGAAAACACAGGTTAGACTGTGCTATTTTTGTATAATGCATAACCCAGATGTTCTAGAATTAGCCGACACAACTGTTTCATTGGAGACTGACTTTGACGGTGGAATCATGTGTCTGATTGCATCGCATGCATGAGAAAGAAAAAGGATCGAAAAAGAGAATAAAAGGCTCAGACGGCGTATTGTGTAGCCACATCTGAGGTATATTTTTCTCTTCATAGAACTGATACACAATGTGCAGGTGATTGGACAAAACCAAATTATACTTACTGGAAAAATCTCAGCTTTTTATTACATTTCAAATATAAGTGTCATATTTTTCATTATGGTATGCTTTACGTCTTAATTTTGAAACCTGTGCATATGCACATGTATTTACAGTAAACCTGGAAGGTAGGTTGTCGTTAACATCCAGCAAAAATGTTGTACATTTTCAAATATATAGCAAATTTTATTTAATAATCTCACTGTCATGTTGGAGCTAACTATGGGGTACTTTGCAATCAATCGCAGTTAACTTATCAATAATGTTTCCATTGTTTTCAATCAGAATAGTAATTTCACAAATCATTTTTTTTCTGCCAGTAATAACACCAATGTGAGATATTTTTATTTCATCTTAAAACTGGCCTTAATTCTTGATTTACTCACTTGCAGTATCGCAAGAGTAACAAAAAAATAAACAAAACAAAAATATCACTTTTGGAGAGTTCTCGATTACATCACAGGTTGAAGGTTTTCTTGAGCCAGTCCAAGTAAGTAACATCAAGTGCATGCTGGGAACCATTTAGAGCACCATATAATCAGTTCCCACAAGATACCATGTTAAATGTACGATTGCTTGAGCAATTGGTCTGAAACGGACAGGAGGATGAATTAGGAAAACATATAGTGTAGTGGTAGTGTGGAGAGCGACAAAGAGTGTATGACGATAAGAATGTGGAGAATAGTGGGGGTTGAATGTGGATAATGAGCATAAGAGTGTATCCATCACTCCCTAACCGGCCAGATGATTCATCTGCCGTGGGGCCAGGCAAGCCAACAGGGGATGTCCAAAATGTATCACAATGGTTTACCGTGGCAACACTCTGATATAACCCCATGGCACGGACCAGGTGCAGACAGCAACATATCCCACCGGACAACCAGGGATCAGGTTTCCCCCTCCCTGGCCCAAGGTAAGCCTCAGGGATGGGGTTATATACTTTAGTTTTTTTTTTAAACTGCCCTCTGCCCCTATACCCTAAGCTACAATCCCATTCCTCCCACTACATACCCCTGCCCTCCGAAAAGAGGCACCACCCCATCACAGCATCACCCCACAACAGCCACAGTCCTCCCACTAGAGCACCTATCCCCCCCACTACAGCCCCTATTACCCCCATCACAGCCCACAAATATCTACAATACCAAGGCTAGGTCCTTTTGGACTTTAGATAATTTTTCACCTCAAGGAATACATTCACCTCAAGGAATACAGTATTTTCTTAAATAATCCAGTTTTTTTATATAACAGTTGTAAACCACTGTTGAAACATTAAATAGCATGGTTTTTGAGTGATTAATCACTGTCTCACAATATATCCAAGCTGAAATGTGCTCTTTGTATAACTGTCACCAGGGTTTCTGAATGATGTGAGTTGGCAAAGGTATCAGATCTACAAACAAGACATGTTTCACTTGACCTATTTACATCATACTCTACTTGGTCTCCTTCGATGGCATAATTAGTGTTTGCTGGAGACCTTTTTTCTTCATGGTGGTTAAATATACTTTTAAATTGTAACATTATTTCATAATTAACATGATCAAGTTGCAAGCTTTAAAAATCTAGCTGGAAACATCATTAACTAAAGAAATAAGATTAAACACATAAAACAAACTGTGGCTTGTAAT